ACAGGCGCCCACCACAGCGCCCAGCCATTTTTTGGTTGCAGCCGTCATTGTTGTTTGGCGGGTGCGGGCTGGGGATTCGAACCCGCCACCTTAGGTGTACGTGGCTGGCGCCTTAGCCAGTTGAGCTATAGGTGCTGAGCCAGGAGCACTTTTGAGGGGCTCTTAAGAGACTCCTTTTTATAATGAGGTGACCCCATGTAGATTCAAGATCCTGGGGTTTATAGCTTGAACTCTGTGAGAGCTCATAGAAAGGGCTATGTGTTGTTTGCCAAAGGATCTGGGACAGCCTGGTCTCAAGTGGTGAGTAGAGTCTCTGTATTAGAGCCGTGGAGTTTTTCACTAACTCCAGTTTCTTTCCCCAGTGCATCCTCGTTCCTTAGTGAAGCTCCTTCCCAGAGAAGGAGTCCAGCAGCAACAGGAGATACCTTCTCAATGTTTGAAAGCTGACCCTGAGGTAGGTTCAGTTTTCCCATTCTCTGTCTGAGTACATCACCTTCCTGCTTGGCCAACTCTTCTATAAAAACACATTCTTAGGGGTCATCCACATTGGGCATTTTTTTTTCTGCTTTTACTCTGGCTCCTCTCTGCCCTGCTATCATATCTACACTGCACTCATGTAGAACTTATAGATAGATCCCTTTCACCATACTTTGCCATAATCTTTGCTTGTCAGCCATTTTTATCAGCAGGGCTATCAGGGAACCTCAGTTACTAAGAGGAATAGGGCCTCTTGCTCTTTCAGGAGCTGGTGGTCTTTGAGGACTTGAACATATTTCACTCCCAAGAAGAATGTGTGAGCTTGGATCCAGGTCAACAACCTACCTCAGATAAGGAAGATAATAATGATGTGGGGGAGATGATGTTACTAGGTAAGAAATGAAGTCTTTTGTTCAGATTCTATGCCATAAGAAAAGTGTGTCTTTCACCTCAAGCTTTTGAGGCACCATTCACACCTGCAAAGAACACATATGTTTTATTTTTGTTTTACCCCATGTGGTAGAGCCTAGCCATAGAGCTGCAGCTATAGTAGCCATTTTCCCTATATCCTGGGGAAAGCTAGGGGAGAAGGGACTTCTCTTGGTAAGGAAGACCTTCAAACAGAAGTTGTGAGTAGGCTGGGCGCCTGTGGCTCAAGTGGCTAAGGCGCCAGCCACATACATCTAAGGTGGCGGGTTTGAATCCAGCCCAGGCCCGCCAACCAACAATGATGGCTGCAACCAAAAAATAGCC